AAATTTGCAGAAAAAAATTCATCGTAGAATTTACAGAAATTGAAAAAAGTCCATTTCACCAATTTTAATTTTTTTTTATTTTAAAAATTAATTTTTAAATTTTAATTTTCAATTTTAACTGTCCACATGAAATCTGTAGAAGACCCGGAGAGGACTTTCATCTCTTTCATAAAATTCTTGTGCGTAAGTAGGTCAAGAAGCATCAACATTAAAATCCTTTCAAACAGCTTGCACAAACATAAATCAATTGACAACAAATCATGCTCGATCATGTTAAATAGGTGCATATAAATTACAGGAATTAGATACGACAAAGGAATATTGACCCATGTGGCACATATTCAACTTTTCTTTTTAATTTTTTATTTAATATATGCATTACAATAAGTAACATTCTTTACAACATTTAATGAGTTGAATTTACAAATGAGATGAATCATGTGTTTCCTATTCGGTCGTCTGGTGGGATTATAAAGGTGCTTTCTATTGGTTAAGGATTGGACTACTCGAATTGGGTGAGAGGAACGTTTATTGGGGAAAGTGGAAAATGTTTTGGGAATCACGACAGGGATTTTGAGGTCTTTTTGAAGAATGTTGCTGTAGATTTAGTAAGGAGCATTGACTATGATTCTAAGGACTTGGGATAGAAAGGACTGTATTCTTTGATGTTGGAAGGTTTAGGCCCCTCAGTCCCAGTCCATACGTCCAGATTTGTTTTAGTATTGTCTTGTAGATTTGTAGCTTGTTTTATAAATTTTGCTTTCATTGAGCTTTATACGCTAGCGTTTGCTCCATTGGACTATTTGAGGACATGTGGCTGGAGTTCCGGCTGTGAAATCCGGGATGAGAGGATAGGACAGCTGGGTCGTCAGTGAAATTGGGATACCTGCGGTGTAGGTAAATGATCCGTCTGCGATGCCCTAAAGTACTCCCGTTCCCAGAGGACAATAGTCAGAGTAGGCTAAACCGACTCTGATGACGACTTCGGTTAAGTAGGAACAAAAGAGTAGGTAGAGGGTAGTTGGAGGGATACGCTTGAACAGGAGGCCTTCATGCTACACGTGTGTAGCTTGTGACACGTCAAGAAAAGCCTCTACACAATATTATCTTTAATCTCAGAAGTCTCTGATTCTTGGCTTACTGCAAACGATCTTTCCTTAATCAGGTTATAAGCTTGAAATAAAAATAATTTTAATTTGTAAAATAGTCCATCATGCCTTTTCAAAAACTAACTTTGTCAAAAATCCGAAAAATATCAAAAAACGCGCCAGTCGTGTACAGTTTCTACTCGAGTAATGTAATCTGTCACTTTGTGAAGCTGATTAGCAGTCGTGGAAGTATGGTTTCGAAAGCCAAATTGATGGTCTGGTATGATGTTGTTTAAAATATCAATAGAGATTATTCTTTTCGAATAATTTAGAAGGAGCAGGTAACAAACTAATAGAACGATACGATGACGTGGAGATTAAATTTTCATGAGGCTTTGGGGTTACTTTAATGTAAGAAAGTTTCCATTGTATGGAAAAGTGTGTAGTCCACTATTGCATTAAATAAAGAAGTTAGACGACGGCTTTTTTGGGAGGTTATTGAAGAACTTGAGCTGTTATTAAATCATGACCAGATGATTGTTTTTAGGAAGCTGTCGTATTTCTTGTGATTCTTGGCTGGGAGATATTTTTGCTATTTGTTTTGAATTATACTTGTTTTGGAGATATTTGTTTTGAATTATTTAAAAAAATATTAAGAAATAAATGAAAAATAAAGATGGGCGTTTAATTGTTAAACTAGGCTAAACCAGCACGACTTCAGAGTATTCAGGAAGTGTCGGTTTTGTACAATTTTATTACGAACATGGTAACGTATTAGTACAAAAAATTAATAAATCAATAAAATCCTTGGTTTCCAAACGTAAAATATGCATCACATACATTATTTAGTTTTTTTTTTTAACCGACTGCTTGATATTAATCAGTTAAGAGGCGTGTGTGTAAATTCCAAGTTAATCTTCTATCAAATGTATGTCCTTAATAGTTAATTAGTTATTCAGATATCGTGAGATGCGGTCGGGTGTGGTGTAGGTTTCAGAAAAATATTTTCTTTATCGTGCCAACGTTTCGATCTTTTATTGAGATCATCTTCAGGGCTCAAAGTGTTTGTCTTCTGTGTAATTGTGCCATCCTTGCGTGTGCCACTCTCAACACGACACGCAAGGATGGCACAATTACACAGAAGACAAACACTTTGAGCCCTGAAGATGATCTCAATAAAAGATCGAAACGTTGGCACGATAAAGAAAATGTTTTTCTGAAACCTACCTCACACCCGACCGCATCTCACGATATCTGAATAACTATCGATTAACGGTCACTAATCTCTACACACTTCACAGTTAACTTCGTCGGATTGAGGGATAGGTTCATTGTATAAGAATATGCTAGGACAAGTCTCACAACGGAATGTAAAGTTGATAACTTGTGTCTTTGAGGGGATAAATTTTATTTTCCAAAGATTGCTCCATTTTTCAATTGTTAATATGTGGTTTAGTAACATAAGTAAAGTTTGTGTAGAAGACGGATGACTTGTTAATATTGCCATCTACGTAATTGGCGGTAAGTGCATTCTCATTTGTGGGCATATCAGAAGTAAAAATTGTGTACAAAAGTGGAGCGAATATTGACCCTTGAGGCACACCTGCAAACACTTCTTCCATCCCAAAAATCTCCATACTCTGGTTTACTGCGAAAAATCTCTCATTAAAGTATGAATGTATAATCAGTTGATAAGTAGTGCAATGATGGGTTCGAAAGCCAAATTGATGGTCTGGTAGGATGTTTTTTGAAAGAGCAATACAGATAATTCTTTTATAAATTAATTTTTCGAATAATTTAGAAGGAACGTGTAAGAAACTAATAGAACGATAACATAATGGGGAGCTTAAACTTTTACGAGGCTTACGGAACATTTTAATGTAAGAAAGTTTACATTGTATCCGAAAGTGTGTAGTCCTCTTTTGCACTAAATAAAGAAGTCAGACGACGGCTTTTTTGGGAGGGTATTGAAGAACTTGAGCTGTTATCAAATCAAGACCAGCTGATTCTCTTTTAAGAAGCTATCGTATTTCTTGGGATACTTGTTTTGGAGATATTTGTAATATTTGTTTTGAATTATTTAACAAAATATTAAGAAACTTTCTGGGCATATCAGAAGAAAATTGTGTACTACAGCAGTTCGAATATTAACCCTTGTGGTACACCTGCAAGCTATTCTTCGATCTCAGAAATCTCCTTACCCTGGTTTACTGTAAAAATCTATTCTTTTTTTAAATGGAAATGATTGATACGACCTCGTGTTTAAAGACTTCATGCCAGTAATAAGAAAATAAATACTAAAAAGCGCATAATAAAAGCTGAAAGGTAGTTAGGAAGTGTGAACTAAAACGAACGATACTAAAATAAATGGAACGAGAGGTTACTATAGAAAAGGACCGGAACGATGGAGAGTTGTTGATGAGGACATTGATAGTGACTGTGACGAACAACATGGTTGGTGGTCAAAGACGAAGGATCAATTGAAAACGAATTGTGATCTTGGTGTGTGCCCAAAAACAAATAGAAATCACTCAAATGACAGAACCTCATTTGAAATAATTTTTCTGCAACCTTACTGAAATAACTTAGAATTTGCTGTGCACATTTCCAAAAGGTTCAAAAAATTTGGTCTTAATCAAATATTTCGTTTAGAGGTGTTAGTGTCATTGCATCACTGTTGATTAAATGTTTGGGCTTTTCATAAAATTATGCAGATATACACGATGTTTTCTACACTTTCCACACTACAATTCTGCAAGACAGAAATAATTAGTTTGGTTTTTACTTTTCCCATTTTTATGGAAATTCCTAGCTGAAATCTAAATGTTCCAAACCGATTCTTCTGATAAAACTTCAGTTTATCTTTGATATTTGGCATTTATATGAAGGCAATCATAATATTATTGGAGAATATTTTCCATATTCCGTCATCATTTCCTGGCTACACACATCTTCGACGTTTTCAGCCTTTACAATAGTGTAACACGTTGTCATAAACTCTGCAAACGTGAAGTAGTTCAAGCTATTGCTAACTTATATACTTGGTTCTATTGATTCTAAGTTATCCTCCAAAATGCCTCGCCTACAACAAAACCTGCCTTTGATTGGTTTTTCGTTGTGCCAGATGGACTGAATAAATGCTAAATATATTGTTTAATAAATATTTAAAGTCGCTGCAAATGCGCGTTGTTTACCAGACGTATTGATTGGACAGAATATCATTTTCACCCAGCAGATTTTGCATACTCCCTAGATTGATTTTGACTACCAAAAAGTATGTTTTTCTATTGGTCAATTTAGCAAAAATCAATATAGAATTACTTGCATAATAACCTTAAATGTATTGAAGCCGAGTACTTATTTCAACTGTGTTTAACCAAAACACACTCGAAACATTCTGGCTTGATAGGTTGAGATATTTCATAATTATTTTGGGGTTAGATACTGTATTTAACTTTCAACGTATTGGTTATCGTAATATGTAATAAAAACATAATCATTCAAGGTGAGGTGAAAGTATGATGCAAAAAGAGACATACAAATATGGTCATATTTGAATGAAATACAAATGTATCAAATATTTCCAAAAAATGTGCAGTTAATTAAATAGCAGTAAAGGGTGAATAATGACATTATTGCCATTTCAACCTTTGCACTGTTACTTTATAACTACAGACAAGAATTGAATCTGGCCTCATTAAAATAAATTTGTCGTTCATAAGAACATATTTTTATTTGATTTAAAATTGAACATATTTAGTTAATTGTAAGATATTAATAGGTCAAGCGGACCACGAAACTAGTGAATATTTAGAAAAGCAGCTGGCGAACTAATAATATATAGGTATCATATGGTACTTTTGTATATTATAAATAAATATGATAATAATTTACAAAGTTTATAACCACGAAACGTAAACTGCATACGATTACAAACAAATTTTTTTTGTGTAAAATTTATGAAAGAAAGACTCGATTTTTCACATAATATTAAGTGATTTAGTTGATAGTCTTTTTAAAAGCATCGTAAGACCGAAGAAAACAAATGACAAAACAAACAAAATTCCAATAACCAAGGTGATATTAAATCTCGAAATTTTTAAAATCGTCATAAGTTTTAAAAGACTCGCAGAGTGAGGTAGTGTGTGACCGTCATTCAGAATTTGGTATTCTTTTTCAATAACGCCGGAGCATTGCAAAGGAAGGACTCTGGTTACAAGGTAAGAGCAAAAGTAACAATAATTACCTGTTATAGAGTTTTATTTTTTTTTTCTTAAAGGAGTCCTTCCTTTCATATCGAGAACGATTGTCACATAGACCATATCAACTGACGGTGAGTTTCCGTTTGCGTTTAAAATATTGAATCGGCTCTTTAATAAATCGAAATTAGTACAAAATAAGTAATAAAATACTGAATATTTTTTCTTTATGGCAGGTACTATTGTACAACGAGACTATTGAAAAATGGACAATTTTTCATGCGTTGCTAGTCAAATTTGATGCCCTGCTGTGGCGCCTGTACGATTTTAACATATTGTCCAATAACACTACCCCAACCGTATAAATGTATATATGAATATATATACACATATCATGTATATACATATCTGCCGCACGTATGTGCACTTAACCCTGACACGTTACCGCTTCAATTACCGGAACGACAAAACATGGAATTGACGATACTCAAGATATTGATTTATACCCGAAAATGAAAGTTATCCAATTGCATGCGGATATTACCAAAATCCTATGAGGTATATGTAAAAAAGTCGGAAATTGCCAAGTATCACTTTTCTGTATGAGTTAAGGATGTGGCACAACAATTGGGAGACTTCTATGAGGAATAGAATATACAGAAAGCGTATTTCCCGGACTGAACTCTTGGACTAGACGTTAATCAATATTGAAAAACGATTGGATATACAAACTTTCTGCCAGTCAACCGCCCACATTGCCAATGTATCCTCTGAATGGCTAAGGGTGAATTAGAGAAGATATGGCTTCAGAAAGTTTGTTTTAATTGAACGCAAACCCCGGAAAATTCTTATCCAAACATCCATGCAGTTAATGTTCACTTAAAGTAATGTGCAAAATTGGTATGAGCCCATTTACATAGTCTTTCTGGCAGTCACACGCCATTAATGCCATAAACATACTGTGAGTTACGTTGCATATGGTAGCCAAGAACTGTCGAATATCAGACGAAGCACACAATTTCTGGGAAAAGACGTTGATCTTGTATTCGAAGGAAGGCATAAATGGTTTCAGTGATGTCAAAAGGATAATCGTTAGAAATGTGAGCCCCTTTTAAAGTGATACCTAAGAAAAGTCATGGGTGGGTCGGATAAAATCTATTTAAATCATGGATCAAAACCCTCAAAAAAAATTAGTCGACCAAAATTTAAATTTGCAAAATTTTAAATTCATCTGGGACTTTGGACTACTCTTCCTGCAATAATTGGGCAATTAGAACTTTAGTTATCTCAATTCATCTTCGTCCGTCTACCGATGCCATTCTTTAATTATATAATTTTTTTATTTTGTTGATCCCAACCAAAATTCAAGAATCAAGAATTTCTGAAGAAATTATATATAAAAAATTTTCAATAATAAATTTTTACTTTTGTTCATATTCTTATTTATTTATATTGTTTTAATTGTATCTCTATCTAAAACTGAAACATAGTAAATGGTAATAAAATCGATTTTTTTTTAGAAAATAATAAAAAAAAAGATTTTGAATGGACGAAAAATTTTTAATATTTGGAAAATTTGATTTATTAATTAGTATACTATTGGGTTGTCCGGAAAATAATGCAGGATTTTGGTATTAAACAAAAAAAAAGAAACTAGTTACTTTAAAGCAATGTTCTTTAATCAAAATAATTTCCCATACTCTCAATACATTTCTCCCAACGTGTTGGTAACTTATTAATTCCGTCTGAGTAGAATTCAGAATTTTTAGAATTGATAAAGTCAATAAATGCATTTTCCAGTTCCGTTTGATTTTTGAATATTATGTGTTGTAAGTAGTGGTCCAGGTGTCTAAAAAAATGGTAGTCAGTAGGCGAGAGGTCCGGAGAGTAGGGTGGGTGAGGCAAAGTTTCATAGCCAAGCTCCAATAATTTTTGTGACGTTACACGTGACACATGTGGTCGAGCGTTGTCATGCAACAAAATGGGCCCTTTCCGATTGACCAAAGAGGGCTTCATTACTGCCAATTTCTGATGCATGGTATTAATTTGGTTACAGTATGATTCAGCATTGATGGTTTCGCCAGGATTTAAGAAGCTGTAGTGTATTAAACCAAATGAAGCCCACCATACCGTAACCATTACCTTTTTTTGATGAGTTGGGGGCTTTGGAAAATGTATTGGAGCTTCTCCTTTGTCGAGCCACTGTCCAGAACGTCTAGTGTTATCGTAGAGAATCCACTTTTCGTCACATGTAACAATTCTGGCCAGAAATGGGTCATTTTTGTTTCGACAAAGAAGTGATGCACAAACATCAAAGCGCTGATTTTTTTGGCGATCGTTTAATGAGTGTGGAACCCAATTTTCGAGTTTTTTCACTTTTCCAATCGCCTTGAGGTGGTCAGCGACGGTCGTTTTACTGACTTTGAGTTGCTCTGCAAGTTCTCGAACAGTTGTTTTGGGGTTTTCTTCCACCACTGATCGCAGAACATCATCATTAAGAGAGGAAGGCCTTCCACGACCTTCTTCATCTTCAAGGCTGAAATCTCCCTCCCGAAATTTTTTAAACCACCTTTGCACAGTGCACTCATTAACACAACCCTCGCCCCAGACTTGGTTAATGTTTCTAGCCGTTTGGGCTCCGCTTCGGCCGAGTTTAAACTCGTAAAAGAAAATCGTACGAAATTCTCGCTTTGACATTATAAGGATGACTGAATTATTTCCAAGTAGCGGAATGCTACAGAGGTAAACAAACAATATCATTTGGAAGAGGATTAATAAGTGTTGACATTCATACAAATGAGTAATCCTGTAAACGTAAACAGAATATTTTATATAGATTTTTTTTAATGAAAACTTAAAATCCTGCATTATTTTCCGGACAACCCGATATATATTAGACGACTATATAAATTAGTCGACCAAAATATAACGTTGCAAAATTTTAAAATCAACTGGGATATTAGACAGCCCTCTCTGCAATAATTATTCAATTAAGATTGTAATTATTTCAACTATTCTTACTCTTTCTACCAACCAAAATTCAAGAATAAATATTTTTTGAAGAAGATCTATGAAAACAATTTTCATTAATAAAATTTTTATTTTCTTCCATACACTTTTCATATGGCTGAAAAATGGTATATGATAATAAAATTGAGCTTTTCAGAATATTATAAACAGCATTTGAATAATGTTTGTATTATTTGAAAATTCTCGTTTATTAAAAAAATAAAGTTTAGGAAAACGTTGCCATTGGTATGATAGTTTGGAGGTTTGTAACAGTACTTGTATAGAATTGTAAAGAACAACTGCGCTCATTATTATCTCTACATACTCTCTTATACAGTGCCAAAAACACAATTTTTACATTTGTTATTCACTCATACAAGAAAAATTTCAATTTTTTCCCTGAAAACACTTTTTCAAATACTCATCCAAAATTTGTGTGTCGCGGATTAAATTTATAGGGCACATTATAAACGCTTGACGAAATGATTTTTTTTTTCGTTCTCATGCTTTGGTACTTTCTGGATTTTCATTTATATGAAGTATCGAAAATATTCGCAAGTATTTTTTATACGTCCCGTATAATTTGGCAACGAAAGGAATTTTAGATGTATAATGTTTTGACCAGGTACTCCTTTAGATTTGAAAGTGGTAATTTTCTTCTATGTAATATTGTACATTGCTTTTTATTTCGTTTACATTATTCAATGCATTCCAGATGGACAATTTTGACAATCGTTTTCCTTTAACCTGTTATTCTTATTCCGATTAGTGTTTTGAACTAATTATGTGATCAATTGTCGCTAAAGAAACATTTAAAAAATAACGCCCGGTTGAGTAGAATTTAGTAGAACGTTTAAATCCTGCACAAAATTTTATGTGAACCAATTTTACATGATTTAAATATGTAAATTTTATTTTTTATAGAATGATTTAGTTTATTTATTGTCTAGAATTTCATTATTTTCATTATTATTTCGTTCATCATTACTCTATCACTGGCAATATTGAAACATTTATGCTGATGCTTGTGCCAACGATTCGGCTTCTACTCCCTGAAGCACTGCCGTCGTCTTGTATACTTGCCAGATTCAAAATATTTCATCATTATCGAATCAGTCCTTTCTGTATCTTTTCGATATCGTGTATCAAGTGTTTTAATATACAAAATCTATAAAATTCTTGCTTCGTCTAGTAGTGCCAATTAGTGATTTACTCGGCCAACATCCAACGTCTCGAGTTTTTAATATTTCACCGAAAAAGCTCTCTAATTTCTTTTGAAAACAAACACTGTTTAGGGTTTAATGCGTTTCTTAACGTACAACAATTCCGGATATACTTAAGTGGGGTTATTTACCGACACGCATCGGCAACGGTCTCATAAAAATTAACATAATTAGATAGGTATATCTAATCAGATATTTTACCGCTCAAGGTATAATATTGTATTTGCTTAAAGTCTTAAAATTAAGCGATAGCCATATGAAAATACTTTTGTTGTCAAAATTTGTTTTCGGTACCGATTAATTTTATTTTGAAATGGTGTTTGTCTTCACGGTATTGGGTTTCCCGGTCTAGGGAGAACTCTGGGCCTTCTAACGTTGATTAGTGCAGCCACTTCTAAATTCGATAAGGCCGTTTAATTACATTCATCCTATTAACGGTTGTATCATGCCGGCCAATCCTCAGGGTTTCAACAACAAAACTGAAATCGCCCGCTTAATCTAAAGGTAGTCAAACGAGTATATGCGTCTATTAGTAAAACTGATTTCATTAGCTTTTTAAAACTTTATTAACGAGACTGTCCACACAACTGGAAAAACTCTTTACCAATATGTTCAACATTTTACACAAAGATGTCCTAACTTTTACGGAAAACAAATTTCAATAAACTGTATTCATAAATCTACGGTATTCAACCATATAAAATTTATCTGTACTATAAATAGAAACAAATAAGTGGCCGATCAATGCTATCGCTTCCCAAAATAAGTATCTAATGAAGTAATTTAATAAAACCTTCAATTGACTGGTTACCTATGTACTTATACAGCTAGGAACAAATAAAATTATTAAAAATTCATTTGTTTTCGTGGTCGCATCATATACTATACATATACATATATCATATACATCATATATAATAAAACATTGAGTATCTGCGAAAGGGTAGATAAGCGAACTTGTTTCGTAAGAGCTTTTTTGTTGCATTTGAGGTATGAAATTCACTGGCAAAGTTTGTGACAGATAAGTTGTCGTTCTACACCCTGTATTTGTGATATTTTCTTTTGGGATCTACGGGATTATACCTTACATTGACCGTTTCCAGTCAGTTTTATCTGCATATCCTAACTACAGACCTACCATTGAAGACGGTGAGAAGCCAAACGCGATTGACAAATCAAAAATAATATTGAAACACTAATCACTACTTTATTTAAGCCCAACTCTGCACACTGATGTACATGTGTACAGAGCTGGAGCCTATCGCTTCACACAGTCCATCTGCAATTCCAGATTTGGTTATTTACAACAAATTACCGCCACTCGACGATCACTCACACTGGCTCTGTGCAATCCGGTATCAAACCTGGGTCTTATCCAGCCTCTGAGATTTAGCTCGATGGGTTATCAACAGCTAGGTCATTATCAGCCCCCAACGCAATCAGTCTGTAATTCCAAACTCATTCACACTCTCACTCACTATTCAACAATATTCAATACATTCTTTTTGCTATTTGCATGTCGTTTACTTAATTAGAGGAATGGAGTCTCATCACCCTCTACATGTATTATGTACCGTTATCTGTAATGTATTATATACAGTACAACAGCGGCGTATCTAGCCGAAGGTCGTGGGTTCGAATCCCGCTCGTGACGCTTACTTTTTTATCACAACTAAAAACCTTAATTAATTGAATTATAACCAATATTAACGTTTTTCAAGATTATATTGTTTTCAATGGTACATACATTACAAGTACATAGATTTACAAAACATGTCAGTCTTATCAGAATTCAGAAACTAGTCAATGCTGTAGAAGGCATTCGCAACTTCGAGGGGTACACAGTTTAACAATCAAGCTGCTATTATCCGTTGTTTTTAACTTGTTAGCTTCTTGTCTCGTATCATGTGTGTGCAGTTAATTAAATTGAGTATATTTATTTAAATCTTTCATGGCCTAGAGCAGACATTGTTGTATATACAGACTAGGTAATATAGTATAGCAAAAATGTCCATTACATAAATGAATCATGAACACATAAAATAAAAGTCGTACACTTAAGTTGATATACAAAGATTTTTAAAAAATATATATAAACAGAGTTATAATGCCCAAATCTTTAAGAGTTGCTGGCTTGTCTCATAGTGTCTAATGACATTACCCTGCCTTCATCCGGCGTTTTGGTTTTTGACGACACGCGTCCA